ATCATTCATGCATTTGTTGACATAGAAAGCTCTCAGTTAATAACTATGGAAATGCTTCAGAGAACATAAATTTAAATCAGCCATAAGCTCGTATAAGACCGTCAAAGCCATCAAGAAGAATTTGGGAGTCAGCGTAATCAGCGTTGCCAGGTCATTTTCAGAAAAATCTGGATCATTCAAAATATAAAATCTGGAATAATCTGGAATGCTCCTAAAAATCCTGTTTTTAACATAATGCTATTGAAATCAACGTGATGTGCCAATCTCCCGTGATCATCTGGAATTTATTCAAAGTATATCAGAATGTTTATGAATTCCATGCTTGAGCTTGAGCTTGATTGACCGCCCACGGTTGCTACTCTGTTACTGCCAGATCAGCTGTAATTACACAGAGAACCAATAGACGATGCTTGGGACTAGCAATCATCCTCAATGTGTAAAAACTGGTGATCTTAAATTAGGCAATACCAGCGCCGGCCGCGCCCGAACACAGGTCAAGAAAGGAATGGGAAGGATTGTGTTGACATGACACTCGCTTTGATGGAAGCCGAGAACACCTCTGCACTTCCACGAGGAATCACTGGGATGTTGGATAAGAGGGTTGGGTTTGCAGCAGAGTTCGTTTTGGTAAACGATAAGCTGAATTGATGTCCTAACGATCATATAACGCGAAGGAGCTTGGGACTAAACCCACGGTCTTCTGCTCAGTAAGCAAAAACGTTTGCCACCAGGCAGACGAGCACCTTTTTAATCACCGAGTTGCTGCCCAGACAACCAGTAGTCGTATAACAATGTGCAGACAGTATCGTAAATTGCCACAGTTTAAGTCAAAATCGCATATAAGAATGGCATACATCGCATTATGTTTAAGTTAAATCGTATAGAATGCAAATTTCCGACCTATATACGATCATTCATTTTTCCGTCGTACTGTATCATAAATCAAATCGGGTTACATCGTAAGACTTTTCAAAGTGAATTTGTTATTACAGATTAAATCGTATATGATGTTAAATCAACTTGTTTAAAATTAAATTTAAATTTGCACGTATATGGCCTCCACTTTTGTACGTATAAGCCATTTCTTTGCATTCTATACGATTTGTCGGCTTGTATATATGTTTGTATATCACGAAAACAACTTTGAATATACGTGCATTCTGGTTGTCTGGGTGTTTTTACCATGTAGTCATATTAACAAATAAAACGATTGACGAATCTTGAATGTGGATGGGCCTGAGATTAGACTCATGATGTTCTGCTCAGTAAGCAAAAACGGTTGCTCTAAGGCCACCGAGCCCATCATATCACATAATACCGTTGCTCAAATTTGTGTATCCATTCAAACCCGGAACCAACGACAACAACGAGTTTCCATAATTCTCTTTGATATGTAAGGACCTGGGACCGCGTTTTTCTGCTCAGTAAGCAGGCCACTGTAACCGACGATCTTTCAAATCCGAAAACTAAAAACTACGAAAAAGTACTTAGGCCTTCATTAAGTTCCACTTTCACGCGACGTTCAATGACAGGGTCCTATCCAGGATTACATCTGAAAAATCCAAATCTGGCCAACGCCCACCCTAAACCTAAACCTGTTCTAATCCACCTGAAATGTCTAACGAATGGAAGACTTTGACTACCCAGCCATGCAGTAGTCTCATTCCGTGCCTTATGGCAACTTGATGATTCTATTGCGCTCATCTTTTGGCACCACCCAGGGGAGACTTGGTCCTGTACCCAATGCTTAACTTATCTCCATTCCACTCAGCTACTCGCAATTTCTTGTGATATAGTGGGCGGAATATTATTATATGAGACAATTCAATGCAGACGTCTTTCCAAATTTGGCAGATCGACAGGTAATCGGTGAGCTACCACGATAGTTGCTATTCAACAACTCGACAACGTCCCATCGTCAACGCCTGCTATGAGAATTTCCCATTGCAGACGCCAACGAAATGACGTCATTGAGCTATCGATCAACTACCCTGGTTATCGCCTGGTACCTTATAGCACGATGCTAGGAGGCAAACCGGAAGAATCGATGAACTACCTCCCCCTCAGAATGTTTATGAATTCCATGTTTTAAAAAATATATAATTATTGACACAGTGTTCCCAAAAAGTTTAAATATCCATTACGCAGCATTTCAAAATTGATTTAAATTTTTGGTATAAAATATAGCAGCAAAGATTCAAGCAACTTTGATGGGATGATTTTTTTTACTAATCGTAGATTTAGTCCTTACTATTTGATGCAGTACCAAAATATGTCTTAAAGATTTTATTAGTTCTAAATAATTCTAATATTACTCTGTGATTCATCAGGCTTGACATCTCATTCTTGACATCATTCAACTCACAACACTCGGTAGACCAGTAGGCAATTTTATTTCAAGCTAAAATTCTCCTGGCTGAAGTGAGAATCAAAGCATAACATCGTGGTACTCACTCACAGTTTACCTAAGCTACGGGTAACTCTACATGACCATTACCAATACTTTATACCAAAAAATAATATTATTATATAACTAAAATGAAAGTCTGAAAGCGTGTCATTTTTGAAGTCTCAGGATCTTGAAATGAATCTAAATTCTTGTATTTATATTTTTCCTGGGTCCCAGATCATGAATTTTTTTGTTAGTCTGAATGTACTTCATTTACAGAGTTCAATTTTAATCATCCTAGAATTTCATCATACTTCTATTCTGGATTCCCATAAACTAATCTTGATAATATCCAAACTTTTTCACTAACATTCTAAGAGTGCCTAGCAATCGCTTATAAAACGCTCTCTGATTCCACAATTTCCTCAAACTGGTAATAATTTCCATGAATTGGCATAATTTTGTCTCAATTTTTCTTTATGAAATTCCCTTAGAATATTCTTAATAATTTCCTTGGTACGCTCTTCAGAATGACCGTCACATTCTTCTCAGACTTATCCGCTTCAGTATACTCTAAGTACTCAAGTACTTTGCCAAAATAGCCTTGAAAGTCTCCCAGAAATTACCAGATTTCTTAAAACTTGATAAAACCTAATCTCCATAGGAACATTGGGCAGAATTCCATTGAAATTATTCTCACGATTCATATCAGCATTATCCTTAAGTTTCATGTTAAGAATTTTCTATGACTTATTTTCCGAATTCTAACTATTTCCTTTCTTCACAAATCTCCATGCTATTGTCATCAGAGTTTGCAAAAGACAATTTATACCGTCTTCACTTCAATCAAAGGTTGCACAGACTGCATACTTACACTTCACTGTAAACTATTTTCAGAATTACCTTAAAATTCTGAAATCTAGGGCAATTCAGAATTCTAAGGTATTTCAGACTGCTAAGGTAACTCAATATTCACAGGTACTTTAAAACTCTATTTAAAAATCTAATTAATTATCCTCAAAAATATCACGAACATACCTCAAAGTCCTGGTGGTTGTCTAGATTCAAAAGTCTTGCTAATTTTCCAAAGCTCAATTTATTGTTTTCAAATCTGAACAGTTTTCGATTTCTCTAAATTCAAAAATTAGGAAAATTCCTCCATATTGATATATTGATTTTTATAAATCCAAGATTCCAAAAAAATAATTGTAACCAAAATGTAAACAAAACCTCCAAATAAAAAAAATTCCAGGCTCGAAGTTTTTAAAAAAATTAAGATTTTTGACAGCCGACAATGTTTAGAAAATGTCTCAATTTTCATGATTCTGCAATCCATTGCAAACATGTTGTAACAATTCCATGTATGATGTTGCAATAATGCCCAACGTTGATGGCCTTTAATAATTAAAGTAGTAAGTTTGGCTTTTTTTATTTTTTTTATTAGAGGGCCCATTAATTGCAATGATATTTATAAAGCAACACATTTTAAAAATCTGGGAAAATCTGGAACATTTTTTTAAAAATCTGGAAATAAATGTGATCTTTCAGTGTATCTGGCAAGACGACTGAAAATCTGTAAAATCCAGATAAATCTGGAATACTGGCAACGCTGAGCGTAATAGCGAAGGGCCAAAAGAATGAACCATTACCTACACGCAAAACAAATTTCTCTTACATCCAGTGTAAGGTTGAATTTATTACATCCTCTGCATATGTTTCATGCAACAAATGATATGGCAGTTCTCGCAATGGACTGCAGCGTACAGACAAGTTTTTCAAGATTGTATATTTTTGTATAATACCTTCACGAGATGATTTTCTAAACACAATGCATTTGGGGAAACAAACTTTGTTCGAACAATAAGCTATGTAATTAATTTGCTTTAAAAATCTTCCGGCGACCACATTACAGAATTTGTTCATGTTGTGAAACATTGCAAATTATGCATAATTGTCATGCAAATCTGTAAAAGAATCTTACATTTCCTGGTAGGGTGTACCATTCAGTCTCATTTAAATTGCTATTCATTGCAGATACCTACACAGATATATTTCATTTCAAATTTTCTGACGTCAATAATTCTAAATCCCATTGAAGAAAATATAGCAATCCTATCTTCTTGTATAGTCAATTAAATTAAAATTATTTTAAATTCCTCACGCACATAGCCTCTTAACGGAAGCTCTTATGAAGAGCTTTGGAATTGGATTGAGTAATTTGAGCTCTTCATAAATGAGAGCTATGGGCATCAGAAAATTATGATCAAGAAAGGTTTTTTTTTATAAAATCAAGAAACAACGTGACTCTAAATCACCTCATTTGATTTTTAAATCATGGTAAAATCAACATAACGCAGAAGATAATTCAAAATTGATTTCAATTAAGCATATACATCTTTCGCCTCTCTGTATATAATATTATTAAACGCAACGCAAATACACACCAAATAATCTCGTCCATGTTATTGAACAGTTTTGGCAAAACAACCTAACGTCAGCATCATAAATATAAAATAATGAACCAGAACCTTCTCAACTTGGATTCATCTGCGCTGCGGTTCTATCTTACCACATTAACAACCTACCCAAACATAATCAACATTGCACTCACCTCGCGATAAGCGAAACCGCAATGGGAAACACTTTCATTTTTCGACCGCCGAACAGATAATCCTCGGTGGTTTTGTTCTTCTTGCCCTCGAAGAACCCAAAGTAGATTCCGATACCAGCTGACACACTCAGCATGAACACGAAGACCGTGTAGTCCTCGGTCGTAAACTGCCCGTATGGGTTCTCCGTTATTTGTTTCACCATTGTTGATCGGTTGAATAGTTTTTTCCTGGCCCAATCTAAAGCACTGAGTTTCTGCTAATGACGGATTTCAGCACTCTTCTATCTCACTGTGTCATATTCTCTGATCTAGTTATCACTATGGCACGTAATCTGACTTAGAACACCAACTGCAGGACGATTCTACTGGCCGGACAAAATGCGACTGACGAGATGAGCTGGAGGAAATCGAGGCGTGTCCTAACAACTTTAGTTGTACGAAAACTCAAGTACTGCCTCGGTGGCCGGTCCAACTGATATGGCAAGTGATAACACCGGCAGACAATTTGCTTTCGATTTGTCTCATGCTTTTGAATTATTGCCGTTCACAATCAAGCTGCCGGGAGCACAAAAAACTGACACAGATGAAATTAGAGATGAACTGTTTACTTTTAACGAAATTATTGTTTAAATGAAAAAAGGCTACACACAATCAATCTTCAAAGGGTAACGAGGCAGTTATTAATTTTAGAACTTATGGCACTGACAGCTCAATTCCTGAGCCGGCTTCTTCTGAGATCCCTTAGAAGTGGCATGTCATGCCGGCGATAAAGCGATCGTAGACTGAATTCATCGTGAATTTTCCTGTTGCGTTCATGCGTATGTAACAACTGATGGCGCGGCGTTCTAGAGTCATTGACTGAAGCACTTTTAGTGCTGCCAAACGCATACATTTACTGTGCGTGTGTCATATTTCATTTTCGAGGCCATGAATATATGCCTCATGATCAGTTTTCAAACCACCAAGGTGCGGTTTATTCCGGTGTTTTCGAATCAGGAGCATCGACTCACCGGTAGCGCAAGGAGTGCATGGTCATACGTTCTCTAGCCTTTGTTGTGCAAGGTAATTTCGGTGTTTGATTACAATGCACTACTAGATACTTATAACTGCACCGTTCAACATAATTGCACTGGAATGACGCAATAGCGAAAAGACTTTACGTTTGTAAATATTGAAAATTGATATGCCTTTCTGCAAATAAAATTGACTGGGTTTTCACTTAAAATCACAAAAACGTACGTCACTCATAGTCTGAGTAATGTGCTCGAATATGAGGAAAATTTACGAATATACGAGGGGGCGACACATCTAAATTTCAATTCAAAAAAATCTTACACAAAAGAATCAATCTTCAACACTCCGAACACGATGCCTCCGGTAAAATGTGTAACGGCAAACTTGCAATGTTTGAAAAATCATAACTCAGTCAGTTATTGACGAATTTAAAATCTGTTAGCGCCACTTGAAACTACAGACTTTAAATATTTATTTAGTATCAATAGGTTCAAACTCTATCGATAAGCTTTTGAGTAATGATTTTTCAAACATTGCCAATTTGGCGTTACACATTTTACTGGAGGCATCGTGTTCGGAGTGTTAAAAAATCTTCTTTCATCTCCCGCATCAACTTGTATCGCGCATCATCTTTTTGCAGGGAATTTTCAGAATCGTCATCAATCTTCTTTCTAGCCTTGTGCGCTGATCAAAATATTTTCGGCGGTGGCGTGATATGTTGTTTTCTGCCGGCGGCGGCGGCGTGGCGGCGTCAAGCGTTGGTCGGCGTGAGTTTATTTTTAATGATTTAGAAGAAAAAAAAATACTTTCCAAACCAATCGAACATGAATAAAAAATGCTATCCACATTTGAGTTCAGATTACTCAAAATCGCTAAAATGTAGGTCACTCATAGTATGAGTAAATTTTCCGACACTTTCCCGGGAAAAACTTCTCGAATATGGAGAAAATTTAAGAAAATTGCACACAAGTTAGAAGTGTATTAGTAGACAGACACAATCAGTTTTCCTCATATTCGAGAAGTTTTCCTCGGAAAAGCGTCGGAAAATTGATTCATTCTATGACTGACCTACGTTTTCGCGAATTTGAGGAGTAACTCTTACTCAATTTTGAGCCGATTTCATTGGCCGTGCATGTGGAATTTGTTTAGAAAAGTATGTCGTGCTTGTTAAAATTACAGGGGCTGAAGTCGTATGGCAAAGTGAGATAGTATTTAAAGGCAATCTGTTGCATTACGTAACATTTCAATGAACCCTAGGAATTCTTTCATTTATTGAGCATTTACACGATAAATTATATGCTTTTATCACTCTGATACATTTGCAGATGATGTCTTTCGGATATACGTAGAATCCCGCACAACTTGAAATATATCAAAAAAGATCAAAGACCAACGTGTTGTTAATAATAGTCACTTATTCACTGCTTTCTGCAAAACAATATTGTTGCAAATGCTGTAATTGTCATGAATGAAGATTGCTTTATCCACATTGTTAGGATGGATGCTTGACCGACGTGCAGATACGGTCAACCCAGCTGTGTTAAAAACTCGTTCACTTGGCTGCCAATCAAGGATAGGGTAGAGAACTACTTCGTCCTAATCGCCCATTTTGGGCCTATCGAACAGAAAACTTCAAACAAATCCATGATTTCAGAGTTAACAAGTCATTTATGCGTTTGGTACGATACTTTAGTTAATAAGCTACCGAACGAAGTCAATGAGAACGCGTGATATGCACACTTAGATTTTTTTGCCGAGATGGGCACCACCGAGCGGCTCGGCATTTTATTTTGCTGGAAATTCAGCAAAAAATTTGTTTGTTAGCCGAGATTTCGGCAAAATTCCCGTTTGTTAGCTGAATCTCGGCAAGTTTTTCACTGAGATCCAGCAAAATAAAATGCCGAGCTGCTCGGTGGTGCCCATCTCGGCGAAAAAATCTAAGTGTGTGAAGGTTTGCACCCATTATTCCCAAAAACAGAAGAAGCGCTCCGACCGAATCAATTTTTATCTTCATCTGATAGGCCGAAGTGAATTCATTTGCGTTTCAATGGCGTTTCAATGCGTTAGGCCGAGTTTAGAATCCATAAGCCGAGTTTGGCGTCAAGAAGCAGTGTTAGACTTTTGACAATATCTCAACGATTGGTTTCTCTTTATCAAATCTTACGGTACGTACGGAAAGGTAAGTAAATTTGGAAGCCATCAGTGATAATAAAACTCCATTTGATGCTAAACTGCGCTAGATTAAGAAAGACTAAGAGCGGGTTGTGCTCAATAGACCGGAAATGGGGTGGTTAACCCTACTGCAGCTTTCTAATTTTCCAAAAGCAAAGAATATCTCCATCTATAACGTTGTTCGTGTGGACAAAACAACCAGCCAACAGGAAGCAACACATGCGGAAAAGGACGAAAAAGGAACTTCGGATAATGAAACTTAGAACAACCGATTACAGTACTACATAATTATATTTACGTCCAACATACACGAGTTGTTGTCTGCTATTGAAAGAAATAAAACAAACATCGCTACACACTGAAAAATATCAGATCAGTATCTCGAATTCAACTACCTTACCAAGGTGTGTGTAGATAGGTGGTCAATGATATTCTCCCACACTCCTCCTCAATGATCACCGCAGAAATTCATCCGATGAGTCCAGTTTGTTCCAACATCTGTCGAAACTTGGTCGCTCCCAACGGTTTTGTTAGTGCATCAGCTATCATCATCTCTGATGAACAGAACTCCAATTTCACAACGCCTTGATTTACCAAATCCTTGATGAAATGCTGCTTTGTATCAATGTGTTTGGATCTCTTGCTTGTTCGTTCCGCCTTGATGAAACTCAAACAGCTTTGATTGTCCTCGTAGACTGTTGTGCACTGCTGAACTTGCCCAAGATCTTCCATCAATCGACGCAGCCAGATTAGCTCCTGGCACGCCTCGCTTAATGCCACATATTCCGCTTCCATAGAAGATAAACTTACACAGGATTGTTTATGACTCACCCATGCAATCGGTCCAGCTCCAAAGAAGAACATGTACCCACTTGTAGATTTCCGAGTCGCTTGGTCGCCTGCCCAGTCTGCATCTGAGTAGCCCTCGAGTATCCATCCTTTTCCAGCTCCAAATTCCAGCTTAAGGTCTTTTGTTCCCTTTAGATATCTGACTACCCGCTTCGCCGCTTTCCAATCTATTTCTGAAGGATTGCTCACTTTTCTTCCAAGAAGAGATACACTTGCTGCCACATCTGGTCTAGCATTTACCGCCACGTAAAGGAGGGCACCTACTAAACTTCGGTACAGAGTAACATCTTCAAACGGCTTGCTGTTGCTATCCGATTTGACATAGCTCGGATCCATTGGTGATTTAGAAGGGTTGCAGTCCTTGAGACCAAACTTCTCGATCAAAGCATCGATGTAACTTGTCAAGCGTAGGCTGTAGAATCCTCCATTGCAGCGCACCTCATGACCAAGAAAAAGCTTCACCTTTCCAAGGTTTGTAACATCGAACTCCTTCCGAAGTGCTTCGAACACAGCATCTATAACTGCTGTTTGCGTACACGCAACTAATATGTTGTCGACGTATACAAGAAGATATACCGTCTTCGAACCATCACGTCGAACATACAAACAGGGATCTGATTCACATTGTTCAAGCTTTAGCTTCATCAACACCGCATGTAATGCACGATTCCAGCATCGTGCTGACTGCTTGAGGCCATAGATGCTCCTCCTGAGTCGGCACACTATGTTCTCCTTACCAGCAACTTCATATCCGGGGGGCTGTCGCATGTAGATCTCCTCTTCGATGGTACGGTGTAGGTACGCCGTTTTAACATCCATGTGTTGCACTACCATACGTTTCTTCCCTGCTACTGCCAGAAGCGCACGTAGAGTTTCCTGCCGCGTTACCGGAGCGAACACATCCAAGTAATCAACACCGTAGCGTTGATTGTAGCCTTGCGCCACCAGTCTTGCCTTATGCTTCACGACTTCCCCACTTTCGTTACGTTTTAGCTTGAACACCCACCGTGACCCAACCACTTTTCTTCCTTCCGGTAGATGAACCAGCTCCCAGGTCCCATTCAAGTTGTGTGATCCAATTTCCGAATCCATCGCTTCCTTCCATTTCGAAATCTCCAACGCCTTCCGGTAATCGGTTGGTTCAAATGAAGAAAACTCAGCGATACCCACAACAAAATTGTCATACCGTCTTGGTAGAACACCTCTAGTTCTCCTTTGAATACGCTGCAATGTTTGCTCCTCCTCTTGGCGATCACCTTCATCACTGAAACCTTGAAAATCTTCTTCTGACGGATCATCCGCAGAACTCCAACCTTCAAAGTCATCAGAAGAAACATCATCGTCTACAGCATTTCGACCAGTCGTCACCGGGTTGATCGGGATAACAACGGAATCATCCAACTCCTCTGACACAACCTCAGATTTCCGTTCACCCAATCGTTCCGATCCATTACCAAGCTCAATGAACATCGCATCTCTACTTATGGTCACACGATTAGTAACCAAATCGAGAAAACGATATCCCTTATG